TTTCTCATCCAAATTATGCCTACTTTTCAGACTTCACCATTGGCTGTCGAATTGATGGATGGAACTTTAATGTTTAGGGTAAATTGTACTTATTTTAAGAAAAAAAAATCCAAATCAATGACCTTCTCTCTATCTCTCTCTCATCCATATTATGCCTGCTAATCAGACTTCTCCAATGAATATCTAATTGGATGGATATATTTTTATGTTTAGTGCAAATTATGCTTAATTAGAATGAATAATCCAAATCATTGATGTTTAGTGCAAATTGTAATTCTTTAGAATGAATAATCCAAATAACTGACTCACTTATGATTATATTCAACATCATCATCATCTTATCCTTATCTCAATTGTTTGGGGTTAGAAACACTAATCCTGTTCCATTAATAAGTTCAAGATTCATGAAAATATGTGGAAAAGTTTTACAATGTGCCTGCCTACAAACAGAACCCTCCTCCTTTATCTAGGCTTGAGATTGACATGACCTGCTATGGTGGAGATTGAAAAATTCATTTATCATCCTCCAACATTATCCTCACAAACTTTTTATTCCTACCCATATCACACAGATCTTACTTTTGCTATACATCTTGCCACCATGCCATTGCTGCTCATAACTTGTTTTCTCTTCTTACAGGTATTTTAATTACAATTACAATGGGAGCAATACTTATAACAATAGCAATTATTATGATGTCCAAAGGAAAAATTAAAATGTCCAAAGGAGTAGAGGGCCAGAATGTTGAGGAGTTCCTTAGGAATTATGGAAATGAATTGCCCACAAGATACTCATACAAGGACATCAAAAAAATGACCAACAACTTCAGGGAAAAGTTAGGTCAGGGAGGGTTTGGAAGTGTATACAAAGGTAAGCTCATTGACGGGCGCCTCATTGCTGTAAAGGTGCTAGCAAAGCCAAAGGGTAGTGGTGAAGAATTTATTAATGAAGTTGCAACCATTGGCCGTATACACCACATAAATGTGGTTCGCCTTCTTGGTTTTTGTGCTGATGGTTGGAAAAAAGCTCTTATATATGACTTCATGCTCAATGGCTCTCTCGAAAGATTCATTTTCTTTGACAAACCGCGAAGCCATTGCCTCCATTGGGAAACACTGTATAATATAGCACTTGGTACGAGTCGTGGGCTCGAATATTTGCACCGTGGTTGTGAAACTCGCATACTCCATCTCGATATCAAGCCTCATAACATTTTGTTGGATGAAGACTTTTGCCCCAAGATTTCTGATTTTGGTCTCGAAAAGCTATACTCCAATAAACAAAGTGTAATATCACTAACTGGTGCTCGAGGAACGATTGGTTACATGGCTTCTGAAGTATATTCAATATCATTTGGGGTTGTTTCACATAAATCCGATGTATATAGCTTTGGAATGTTGCTCTTGGAAATGGTTGGTGGGAGAAAAAATTTTGATCAACGAGCTAATTCTAGTGAAGTATACTTTCCAGATTGGGTGTATTCTCGCCTTGAATGTGGAGGAGATCTTGAAGTGGGAGATATCAAAGGAGAGGAAGAAGAAATGGCAAAAAAGATGATGGTAGTTGGTCTTTGGTGCATACAACTCAACCCAACGGACCGTCCAAGCATAACCAAGGTGGTTGAAATGCTTGATGGTAACTCGCAAACTTTAGTTTTGCCTCCTAAGCCTTTATTCTCTTCTCCAAAGAAGAGATCTTCCCTCGAGTCAGATTCTTGCCATACACAAATGTCCATATTGTGATAAAGGCGTAATAATCCTTGGAGGTATAAACCTTTTTTCTAGGAGAGAGAGATTTGAAAATTTGAATTACATAAAATCTTGTCATGATTTCAAATCCAACTTGTAATTGACCACGGTTTTCACATGTGAACAATAATGTTATGGCCCAACAACCACTCTCCCTCCTCTTCTACCCTAACTTTCACCAATGCTTTCACTGAATAAGGTGACTCGTTGGTTAAATATTAGTTTGTAGAGTTTTCCTAATCTTTTAGTTTAAATAAAGCTCTCTATTTTTGTTTTCTTTTATAGCTTATTTTTCTGTTCATTATGGAGCATGGTGGTGAGCCTCCTTGGATTTCAAAGCAACTAATACTATTATCCTTTTATTAGGAAATGATCAATGCATCATTGCCCTTTTATTAGCAATATTTATTTTAAGGAGAAGTATAAAAAGAGACCATTTACTTTTAATACAAGGAGATCATAATCATTCTTGTCCGTCAGATTTCAAATCCGATGATTGTGAGTGTATCATTGATTAAACTCATAGTTCAAAAAAATAAAAGTTTTTCGAACTTTGTGGAATATCCCAATTCATCAAATTTAACATCTAATAAATGGTAGCAATTATGACCTCCTTGTAACAATGATAAATAGTCTCATTGTGTATAATCCCTTTATTTCTAATTGGTTTCATGATGTTCGTTAAGTTTAGCGAGCCACCAAATGCTGTAGTCGAAACATATGCCCAAAATTTCCTTTGGTTTTCTCATAGGGTAATAAAAAAAACTCAGCCAATCATCTCTACCAATTAATCACATTTGGTCATACCTTAGTCTAATCAAGCCCTCTGTCAAAACCACGTTAAGAAGACAACTCGTGAACCTAGGTATAATCCAATACCACCATCTCCCTTAACTTCATTTTGAGAATGATGGATGCAATCTCTTCTTTTGTTTTTTTACTTCTTTCCACCTTCAATCTCTTTGCTTGATCCCTACAAGCATATGACGTGGCATTGGTCATATGAGTTCAGGTGGATTGTGGCTTGGGTGACCTCATGGAAAAAGTAATGGCTCATTGGCTTTCCTGATGATGTAATTGCAAAGGATGCTGTAATAAAAATAAAACTATAGGATTTCAATTTTGAGAACTAATTTTCTCTTTCTGTAATTTCAAAATCAGGTGAGTTATTCAGCCTCTACCTCTGACCCAGGCGAGTACGTTGCTTGGTCTCACTCCAAAATGGAAAATGGGATTTAAGGGAGAGAGAGGAGATGAGGAAAGTAAAACTGGGATTCAAAAAAGGGCCTGAAGAATATGCAGAGAAAACCAAGACTCTACGTCCATCAGATTCCAATAACCTCCTGGTACAAGCAAGCCTTGTTCTGTTAACTCTAGCTGACAATTGACCGTGGGAAATGGAATTGAAGGAAGGCTATTCAAGGAAAATCAAAATATGTGGCGATGAGAAGTTACAATAAAGGGTTTTTCATGGCAAGTAGAGAGCAAATGTTCGGCTTTTTAATGTTGCAGAGCCAGATATACGAAGATGGTTTTTAGGAAGAAATATTTGAGAGAAAGGGTCTTCGGTTGAAAGATAGCTACATAATAGATAAATGGAAAAGTATACAACGACATCATTTATCTTTAGTGTAAGGTGGTCACGTTTAATCTTTGACAATTAGAAGTGAAATTCGGTAGTTGTATTTATTTTATTGACCAAGGTCAAATGAGATATTGTGACACACCCAAGCTATCAGATTTTACATTGGATAGTTGTAAGTAACTGTGACTTCCTTGTATCAAAGGTAAATGGTCTAATTTCTTTTTTCTCAACAATGGTACTTTGGGAATACTGTAGCAACTTGCCTGAGTGTTGTAAAGACCATGCCGAGTTTATGGTACTCATGTGAGTTGCTACTGTAATCAGGCGAACACCGCATAGGTAATTCAAGGACAATTTTGTATCGAGATATTCTTTTTAGTTTATCTTGTCCAAGCCGAGTAACTCAACCGAGTCCAACTCGAATTCTCCAAGTCTTGAATACCTACCTTCACTCCCTCCTTGCCCCAGGCACGTGACCCAAGCTCTTCCTTTCTTTTCCACGAACAACCCCTCTAAAAAACAAAAAATAAGAAAAAATGAAAAAAAATCTCTTTCCAAATTTTTTGTTCCCCCAAGGATTTTTCTAGCTTGGGTAAAGCTCTGGCAAGTCCATTCGGGCTCACCAAGTGACATGGATTGGGCTAGGGCTCAGCCAAGAGTTTAAAGTCTGATTTGAACTAAGGGGCTCCTTTTACAATTGCTATGTTAAATATGAGCTGTGGATGCAGTTTGTATAGAGCTGAGTCTCTAAACAATCAAAGTAAAGTCCACCTTCAAATAGTGTTGCGAAATTCGGTTTCAATACTAAAATTCTTTGTGATAGATTTAAAATATATTTTCATCTTTAAATATAAAATTTAAAGCTTCAAAAATAGTGTAGATTGAGCTGATCTATAAAAATTTGACAATATTTAAAATTGACGGTCTAAAAATGTGTCACAAGATTGCATTATTTTCAAAACTTGAAATCTTTTTTTTTCACATGTCTATGTATCTTGATGTCGAGATGATTAATTTGAGGATATCTGGGCATTAAAATAACCTCCACTAATGAAATTTTTGAGGTGGGCTCTAATTTGATAGTTAGAGTCTCAACTATATGTAAACTTTTTTTTGATAAGACATCTCTCATTTTCTTTTGGGAATGGCTGTTGTTATCTTTTATTGATTCGCAAAATGGACCTTTGTATTTCTTAGGGTTAAATTCATGGTCCAACGATGCTGTTACGGTGGTTATGCTGAACAGCATCTTGTTATTATAATGGTAATAACAGCTTGATATATCATATAACCACAGTGGGTTTTGCTTGCAAGATGCATACTTAATCACGTGAGAGAATTTTTTTATATAAAAATGTCTAAAAACAATTTCATGTGAACGAAGCTGCCATAAAGTTTCAACTTCTTTCCTAATATGCTATACATTTAGC